TATTATGTATGGTTTACCTAAAGTCCATAAGCCTAATTTCCCACTTAGACCTATAATCTCTGCTATAGGTACTCACTCCTACAAACTTGCTAAATTTCTTGTTCCACTTCTCCGTCCCTTCTCTACTAACACTTTTACAATTAATGACACCTTTACATTTGTTAAGGAATTACGTGAGTTAAAAATTAATACTAATGATGTCATAATGGCCAGTTTTGACGTTAAGTCTCTCTTTACTAACATACCATTAGATGAAACTATTGATATAATCATTAATAAATGCTTTGCTAGTGCCACACACTATCATGCTATCTCTCGCGATCAATTTAGAGAACTCTTGAATCTTTCTGTGAAAAATTGCCATTTTTTATTTGACGGTGTTCTATACAAGCAGGTTGATGGTGTAGCAATGGGTTCACCCTTAGGCCCATTGTTTGCTAACATATTCCTATCTTTTCATGAAAAATCCTGGTTAGCTGACTGCCCTTCTGTTTTTAAGCCTATATTCTACCGTCGGTATGTTGATGATTGTTTTCTTATTTTCACATCACGCGACCATGTTACTCCTTTCCTATCTCAACTCGAAACACCCCAACATTCAATTTACTCATGAGCTTGAAAGTAATTCGTGCCTTCCTTTTCTAGACGTCAAAGTCATTCGTTCTAACGGTTCTTTCGCTACCACGGTTCATCATAAATCTACTTCCACGGGATTGTTTACCAATTTTGACAGTTTTATTCCAATGCTGTACAAAAAAGGTTTACTATTGTCACTTATCTCTCGTTATTTGAACATTTGCTCTTCTTATGTATTTTTCCATTCGGAAATGGAAAAATTCAAGAAAACCTTCTCTCTTAATGGTTATCCTGCAACACTTGTGGATAGTTGTATCAAATCATTTCTTGATAAAATGTATAATTCTCGTGATAAAGTTCATACTTGCTCGAAAAAGGTTATATATTTTTGTCTTCCTTTCACTGGTCATCATGGTTTGCAAATTCGATCACAACTTCAGAAATTTCTTTCTTCTGCCTATCCACACATTTCTTTACGTGTCGTCTTTCGTCCTTCTTTCCGTCTTTCCAATTTCTTTCCATTTAAGGACAAAATTCCTGGTGAACTGAAATCACATGTGGTGTATTTGTATAAGTGTCAATGCTGTAGTACATTGTATGTTGGTCAAACTCGCCGACACATACACACGCGTATCTCTGAACACATGGGTGTTTCACCTTTGACTGGAAAGAAACGTTCTGTTTCAACCATGTCAGGCATACTCGCTCATATCCATACCACTAAACATCAAATTTCACCCTCTGATTTTAAAATCCTTTCCACTGCTAGTTCTGAAGCAGATTTACTCATTCGCGAAAGCCTTTTCATATCCAAGCTTAATCCTACTTTAAATGCTAACATTAGGTCAACTCCTCTTGACCTTTTCTAATGCTTTGTTAGGTCTCTAATTACTAACCATTATTTCTTTAATTTACTAATACTATTGCTTTTAATGACAGGTTGTTTTTCATCCTTCCTCTTATTCGCTTATTTGAATATTGTAACCGTTTGAAACTATTTGCATATATATAATACACGCTTGTAAATAAGTTTATAAAATAATATGTATATAACGCGTGTTCTGATTGGTCAAAAGCCGTGTTTGGATCAGGCCATCCAAACACGGAAGACTATCGTGTTGTTGTTATTTTATAAAACAATTACTTTATGGTTTCCGTGTTTGGATGGACTGATCCAAACACTTGGGAATGTTGCTCGAGTTAAGAAAAGCGGGCAAAATCACGCGCCTTCGGCTCGTGATTTCGCTCGCTTTTCTTAACTCTCGCAACATTCCCGCGTGTTTGGATCAGGCCATCCAAACACGGAAACCATAAAGTAATTGTATATTAATTGCTCTGAAGATGTTGTGAACAATACGAAACGTTAGCCAATAAATTTTATATTTTGTTATGTCTTGTCTGAAAGTCATTTGCTGGGCTTTAATTTTCATTTTTAAATTATGTTTACATAGTTTTCTAGTTCTATGAATAAGGAAAGGACAAAGTTTGATTTGTAAGAAATGTTAATTTACAAAAGTGCTATTGATAGTTCCATTGACGTCTTTGTAAACACGTCAATAATGCGCTCTTTGTCCAGAGATTGTAAAATTCCCCGCTCAACAGCAACAAAAATATACTTCCAATCGTCCTTGCAACATAATTGACCGAATTTGAGTTTTCACTCTCTTAATTCCTGAGGATGAACACTCAGCAGTGGCAAAGTGTGGGTCTGTGGGATATGCATCGGCCAGGTGGTAATCAGGATGCGATAGGATTCTCAGGGCCTCAAGAAAAGATGGTACATCTTTGTTCCGTGTTGTGTCATAGGTGTCTTCGTCTGATTCTTCATCATGATCGTTCTCATCATAATATTCTTCTTCAGAATCAGAGCCATCGACGTCGTGAAAATCTTCCTTTCTTTGTTTGGGAAAAACGTAAAGGGAGCGGTTGAACTTCGAGAATGAAGGTCCAAAGGTGAACAGCTCTTTGGCGTAGCCACAGAGTAGAGACATACAGAGACGTAACTGACCTGTTGTAAACACTGCGGTGAGTCGTCATCAGGTCGTCATCCAATCAGATGCATGCATCTAGTAACTTGCCGAGCACGCGCACAAAAAAAGTGGGTACATTAGTTACGTCTCTGTATGTCTCTAATCTGTGGCGTAGCAGAATGGGTCGATATGTCGTGCAGAAACTGGTTATGCTGACTTCCAAGTCGGAGGCATTTTGGAAGTTCTCTGCGAATGGCAGTAAAGTATAAACGACAACTCGGCGACAATGTATCAAACAATCTCATTATTCAAACTCTTTTTCTCTCGTTGGCCAATCGGATCTGAAAAATCCCAATTCGGACTGGCGCTTTCGTGTGTGCTTTCAGTGATTTTGTGCAATTTCGGGACCCCATTTATGCTTTGGCGCCACAAAAAATGTTTTCGCTGGGGGGCCGAAAAAATGTTTTCGCTGGGGGGCAATGGCCCCCTGCACCCCCCCCCCCCCCCCCCCCCCCCCCCCCCCCCCCCCCCCCCCCCTGCCAGCATGCCACTGATCTGTGGTCGAAAGGACTTCGGAACACTTAATTTGTTTCCCTTGAAGAGGAGGCCATCAACGCAGGAAATATTATCTTTACATGTCCAATACGGCTTGATCTCTGCTTGTGCATTAGCTGTGTTCTTTGGCCATCCCTCGAGAACTGCATCGTGCACTGCTTGCATTACAACAACATCAGCAGTGGCTTTCTGGAATTCTTGGTACTTTTCAGGTGATATTGGTAAGTGGGCTGTAAGGTGGACTTCGTTTACTTCGAGTTCTTGTACCAGTGTTTCTTTAGTCTCTTCTAGATAATTTCTGCTTAGGGCATCAGCAATGAACAACTCTTTGCCAGGCTTGTAGACAATTCTTAACTCGTATCTTTGCAGGGCTAACAGCATCTTCTGTAGATGAAGTGGTGCTTGGTGCAGAGGCTTATTGAATATATATTCCAGTGGTTTGTGGTCTGATGTGACAAGTACTTCTTTTCCAAACAGGAACTGGTGAAACTTGGTTGTACCAAATACAATAGCCAAAGTCTCTTTCTCGATTTGTGCATATTTTGCTGTGTTTCATTTGCCAATATCGTCAGGTGGCGCCTAACACGGAGAACACTTTTGCTTCTGGCATTCCAGCTACAACTTCTTCAATCGTTTTCATTGGATAATGTTCTCTTTTTATTGCTCGATTAAGATCTCTTGGATCAATACACACTCGGATTTTCTCGGGTTTTATTATCTTATTTCGCGGGTTCTGTTTGTTTGGCGATAACACCAGCATCTTCCATCCTCTGTAATTCTGCTTTGATCTGTTCTTTCAGGGCTAACGGGACTCTCCTTGGTGGGTGGACAACAGTGGTATACGAACGATCAAGTTCAATGGTATGTTCACCAGGCAAACATCCAAGACCAGTAAACAACTCATCGTATCCTTTCAACAGTTCATGTTGTTGGGTTGAGGTTATTTTGGTGGCGAGAGGGGATCTGCATTGTGATGATCTTGTGACTTCGAGGTCTCCACTGCATGTACTCTTTCTACTAGACCCATTCTTTGCATGTGTTGGCACTGAATACTGGTGGTGCTGGAATATCAACAACACGGAACTTTACTTGGTATGTTTTTCTTTTGTACTCACATGGTAAAATAGTTATGATGACATGACCAGAGTATGACTTGAGCTGTGCTTCTGGTTTCTTTATATTTGTGTTGATTTCGAGACGTTGAAGATCTTTGATGGAAATTACATTACACCTTGCACCTGTATCGAGCTGAACATTTACAGTTTTTTCCGCAATTTTTACATCTTCACACCATTCATTTTTGTTTATGGCATCTGTAGTTCCCACAGAATCAACATATAGTTCACTGTCACTCTCTTCAGACTCCTCTTTGGACATTTATTTTGGTCATGTTTTATACCACACTTGCTGCAGTGTTGTCTATAAGTATAACCGTCTCTGGTGTTTGAGCCTTTTCGTCGTTTGTCATCTTTATATTGGAATTTTGTCTCTCGTTCGTCTCTGAGGCTGTGTACATTGTTATCTTCAGGTGCCATACTTTGAAGCTAGGTGTTCGACATTTCTTGTGTTCGAGCGATATCAATTGCCTTTTCCAAGGTTAGTTCAGATCCTTCTTGCATTAATTTCTCTCGTACTTTTTACGAATAACAACCGATTACTACTCGATCTCGAACCATTTCGTCTGGGTCTTTGTATCCACAATCTTTAACTTCGACTTGAGTTTAGTCAAGAACTGCTCGAATGGCTCCTTTTCTTGCTGTACTATATTATGAAACTTGTAACGAGCAAAAACATTATTTGATTTGGGCTTTACATACTCTTCGAATCTTTCGTAGTAAGTAGTGACTAAAGGCGGTTTTCCACTAAGCGAAATTTTTCGACCGAATCGAAATTTCTCTTTGTTTCATGAGCTCTCAAGCAGAACTAATTGTAAAAAGACAAAGAGAAATTTCGTTTCGGTCGAAAAATTCCGCCTCGTGGAATCCGGCCTTAAAGAGCTTTTTCGATTCTTCGCCTGTTAAATTCCAGGTATTATATACATCTCGGCCTTTCTCTCCAACCCATATCATCAGATAGTTGCATCTTTGTTCTTCAGATTTGCCTTTTAGTGGCCCACCAAAAGCAAATTCACAATGTTGTTGAAACGATTTCCATGCTGCTGGCAAGTCGACCAGTTCATTTTGGGCATATTTGAGGCTGGAAACCCCTCCATTTCCGTTTACACTTGTTGTCGGACCTTTACTCCTTGTATTTCTATGGGTTTTTTATCGGATGGCTATCTTTCCTGACACCATGTTATGTAATTAAGACGATATATATTTACCCCCAAGATGCTTTGCATACATTACACTAGGGAAGAGTCTTGCAATAAGTAAAATCATTTGAAGTTAGCCAGAGCAAAAGAAACGATTGGGCTCATTGCATTTAAATTGGTTTATATATAGTCATATTTGAGATCATAATTATGCACATTGTCATTGAATATTTTTGACCGCATCCAAAACAGCAGCATATTGAATATTATGCTAAATCAGGCTGCACTTGTGCAATTTTCTTAATCATGTTGCATTTCATGTAGTAATTGTACGCCAGGATTGTTCTAACTATTGTCGTTGAGTTTAATAAGATTTTGAAGAATTCTGTTCAATATTATACAAGCAAAAATTATATACATATAAACTTTTGTATTGTTTCATGACTTTCATCTTCTCTTCACTTTCGCCAACTGAATGCTGAGCTGAATTGCAATCTTGTTCGCATTTACAACCACTTGCCTTGTTCACCGAATTTGTCGTCTAGTCAAGCTTTGATCTTTCGACCAAATCTATGTCGATACCCATGTCATGTTCAATAATATTATTAATATTATACGAGGACGAATGCATGTTCATTGATATTACACGAGGACAAAGTACTGAGATGTATCATTGATACACATTTTTGCATCGTACTTTAATAGTGAACGAACTTCGTCTTTTCCTATCAATTTTCGTATTACAACAAAAAACAACTTTGATATCAATGGATTCAATGCTTTTTGCGCACTTATCAGTGTTCCGAAGGTAAATCAGCGGCATTTCGGCCATCATGACAGGAAAGCGCATTGTACTTCATTTAGGTAATTCCCTCTTCCGATCTCTATTTTTATATATCATTTTATAATTTCGCCTGATTGCAGATACACTTGAGTGGAGTACAATTTCTCATGTTAGAATGTTAGGGTTTGTAATCCAAATGCAGCACAAGGTCCTGCCGTATCCACATGCCAGCAGTAAGGGGACAGGAAACTGGCACGCTAAATACCAACAGCGTAAGTTCAAACTGGTTCGCTCGTTGGACATTCTACGACAACCTAAATCGCAAAGATCCTTTTTTGGTAATGACAAATGCATGTTTCCTTGACAAATTATCAGCCCCAGAGCATGCCTGTTCGCAGGTTAAGAGTTGGGTATAGCTCTGGAGAAATCGAATTGATTCACGTTGCATTTCCAACGTGAGTTGTACGCATGCTCGGCAATTGTTGCAAAATATAAACAAAGTATTTGGAATTTCTCGTCGAAAATTAGATACTTTTTACACTGAAATCAATTGAAAACTAAATATTCTGGAGTAAATATGCGCGAAAGCTTCAGATTGATAGGGATACAATTACCTGAAAAATACAAGAACTTCGACGTTTCGAGCGAAGACCCTTCGACTTGTACTGTTAGTGTTTGTATACATCGTACTTGACCTCTACTGTCGGTATTCATTATAAAATGATAAATATAATCTCCTCAAGAATGAGAGAATGTTTGCTGTGAAGTGTTGACCTAACGTCCACTACGTATACCATTAACTGTGACAGGAGAGCATAAATTTAAAGTACATAGTATACGAGAGCAACTTCAATAATCCAATGTCAGGGAAATGTAAACCTTTAGTCCAGTTTTAAAGAAATCAACCGCAGGTCCACACTTCACTCTCATTTTTGAAGAGATTATATTTTTCATGAATCAGTAAAGGTCAAGTACGATGTATACAAACACTAACAGTACAAGGGTCTTCGCTCGAAACGTCGAAGTTCTCCTTGTATTTTTCAGGTAGTTTTATCCCTATCAATCCGAAGCTTTCGCGCATATTTACCCCAGAATATCTAGTTGTTTTCATTTATTTCTTGTCAAAAATTCATCAGAGGGAGAGGGTTTAGAAGCGTCTGATTAGAGAAATCATGGTAGGTTGCAATTAAGATTTGGCAGTGTTGGAAGCTCTGTGCCTAAACAAGTGCAGTATACATTTTGTCTCTGAAAGATGTTTAATTACTGTTAATGACCTGCAGGGGATGGCGATACCTCAAGTTAATGGTGGAGTTTCTGGTTGACACATCTAGTTAATTAATGTCCTTTGTCGCCTTGGGATAGGGAGGATGGGGATGGATAGGAGATATTTCCAAAAAGGCATTAACGTATCCATACACCGTCAATTCCCACTAAGTTGCCTGAAGTAGTAAGGTACTACCAATTTTTCCTCCAAATTCTCAAGTTGCCTAAAGTCGCCCTAAATTGCTGGAACTTGAGGTGACTTTAGGACCAGGTCTAAGCCTAAATAATAGAACATTCTTGTAGGAATTGTTTCAATTCCACAGTCTGTATACAGCACATACTGAACCAAAGTAGATCACTAGATCTAAATACAGTATACTCAAACACACTTTCACTGAAATTACAGCATTTTAACTACAGTGCAGTCTATCCTAAAGCCAATAAAAGAAGTACCTGGGTTTCCCGACACTACCTAGCTTTTGGACGATGAAATCACCAACCCAAATCTTTTTATCTGAAGTTTGCAAACAACTTGGAGCAATCATGCCCAGTCCAGACTCCTTGGTGTTAGTTACTTAGTTTTGTACTACAGTGGCTACAAATGTAAAGTATAATCTGTTTTTATCAAGAGAAAACCTAGCCTAACCTACCCCTAAATTTTTGCAACAAGAAATAGGAAACCCAGGTATTTCTTTTTTTGTCTAACATTACACACAACTATAACGACTAAACTAATTGATGTCACCAAAAAGTCTAAAAATGTGAATCCATTGGCATCTCTGTGTCTAGCTGCCTATATGTAGGTTGTTTTCTCTATTCCACATAGCTAACTTTGGTCCTCAATCTAAATAGAGTTATACATAATTGGGGTCAATTTAGGTAGTTGTCCACAATTCATTTCGGTTGAAGCTACCTGAAATAATATTTTTCAGGTAGCTCTGACCAAGATGGTTTATTGTACACATTTCACAAACATTTGTTTGTTAAACCCAGATCAACTATACAATTTTGCTGCATTTTGCCGATATTGACAAAGAAATACGAATAATGTAGATATATCGGCAGTATTTTTTTCAGGAAAATTACAATATTCTTATATAATTTCCACTAGACTAATTAGGATATCTGTTGATTTCTGAAAACAGTATACGCAATACCAAAAATACTAAATACAGTACCTGTCGCGAGTAAGGGTACGTCCACTCGCGCGTAGGGAGTGCGCGCGAGTCAAAGCGAGTACTCGTTCTGACTCGCTACTCGCGAGTACTCGCATTTCATCTCACTCGCAAGCACTCGCTACTCGCTAGTCGCAACTAGCGAGTGCTTGCGAGTCAAAAGGCTCAGACAATTTGTACAAATATGAAGCGAATAATTCAGCTAAATGATAAAACGCCATAGTTATATGAAACCTAGTATGATAGATATTAGCGTGTTTATAAACGACTGCCACATGGTGGGACATATTTTCTTCGAACAAAGTTCGTAGATGGACGGACAGTCTTAGAAGCGTTAACTATAGCTGAGTCCATATCAATCAAAACGGTAAAAATGACACGAAAATGCGAATGATTGGACGAACAAATGCCATATTTAAATATGGGACTATATATTCAAATATGGTCCGGTTGTAAGAATTAGCATCGAGTTCGCTGACGCTGTTTAACAATATAAATATCGAGTACTCGTCGACGTTGTCTTGTAGTTCCAGTAAGATTGGAGAATCAAATTACAAGTAAAAACGTAATACTGTAAAGTGCAAAGTGACAAAATATAACTTACATTGTATATGCTGCTAGCATCTTTCTTGAATCGGGAACCATTACAAACTCACAGTTTCGATCTCGTTATGCGCTGAATCCAATTGAACATAATATCGATTGAGCCCCACGGAACAACGAAACACGAACATACTGTGTATTTATCGCAAAGTACCAGTATTATACTAGTCTCATATAGTCGACAATATCCTGCCTATACTAATGCAAGTATAGATTGTCAATTTGGCAGGACTCATGCATGGTCGTTATGATATTAAAGAAATCAGCCATGAAATATTTGCGGAGGCGTAGTGTGCTTTGTGCGTGTTGGATCTGTGAATTGAAATATTTTAGAATCTCTTTACTCTAGTGGCCTGAATGTTTTTGGACAGAAAAATTTCAGTTTTCCCCATCTATAATCTGTGTTCAATGAATATATGAATGTTGTTAGCTTGCAAACTGTGTCAGGCCGAATTTTCCCAAAAGGCAAAACTCTATTTGGGTCAATTTGTAACCGCGAGTAATATCAGAAATTTTTCATCATGATGCGCATGAAAATATGTGTTGTTGGTTTTGGTTTTGCCAGCTTATAAGTATAAAACTACAAATACAAATATATAAATTTTTCAAACAACTGCATTATCTTGTCAAATTTTCTCAGCTATATAGTATTGAAGAATGTGCCAAAATTTGATTTCTTTTACTTTGGTCAAGAATCCTAATTAACTACAACTGTATGCATTGTGATGTGAGCATTTTTTCTTCAAACACATAAAAAGTATGTTTTTCACAGAGATTAGAGTTTTGAGTAAGTTCTCGAAAATTATATATATATACCGTAGCTATTGTATGTGATAAAATATTAAAGTCAATGTTCAGGAATTTTGTGCATGCATGCATGCCCAGTTTTCACAATGTTACCGAATACCGGCGAATACTGTCACCAGTGTCAAATTACACTAGTCAATAACACTATAAATATAAATAAATGCTGCGTTTCCCCCAAGAGACACAATTTACAACAGTAAATGGTGTAACACTAACAATTAGAAATGCCTCGATTAACAGTCGAGCTAAAACTTAAAGTCATTCGTCTACACCGCGAAGGATTTCGCGTGTGTGATATTTTGAAAAATTTGAAAGAAGAAAACGGCTTTTCAATGGACCTATTCCCTAATGAACAAAATTTTAATCTAGACATGTCTAGACAAAAATGTCATCACAGTTTGAAAGAGCATCACAAAATTAGTAATATTCCGTTAATGTAAAATGCGGATAATATAGCCCTGAGAAGTTTGCCGTTTTTCAGTCATTTTGTATTACGCACGGGAAATTGATTACCGCTTTCTGAAAAAAGGTATCAATTTCCCGCGCGTAATACAAAATGACTGGAAAACGGCAAACTTCGCAGGGTTATATTATCCGCATTTTACAACATTCCAAACGAAACCGCGAAGGTTTCGGTTTTTAGAAACCGCGCGGCATGGGCCATTGAAGAACGTAGCAATTGAATGATGTAAATTTGGCCTCTGCTCAAACCCGCACGAAACGCAAGTTAACGGAAAAACCCAAACATGATCAGCTGAAGTTTTTCTGACGCGTGCCAAAAACATTCAGACCAGTATAAACTCTAAAATATTTCAATTCACAGATCTAACACACACAAAGCACACTACGCCTCCGCAAATATTTCATGGCTGATGTCTTTAATATCATAATGACCCTGCATGCATGAGTCCTGCCAAAACAATCTATACTAGTCTTGTATTAGTATAGGCAGGATATTATCGACTATATGAGACTAGTATAATTGAATTTTTCGTGATAAATGTTTCGTTGTTCCGTGGGCCCGTGGGGTTCAATCGATATTATCTTCAATTGGATTCAGCGCATCAAGTCGCTTGACTATAACGAGAAACTGTGAGTTTGTAATGGTTCCAGATTCAAGAAAGATGCTAGCAGCATATACAATGTAAGTTATATTTTGTCACTTTGCACTTTACAGTATTACGTTTTTACTCCTAATTTGATTCTCCAATCTTACTGGAACTACAAGACAACGTCGACGAGTACCCGATATTTATATTGTTAAACAGCGTCAGCGAACTCGATCCAAATCTTACAACCGGACCATATTTGAATATATAGTCCCATATTTAAATATGGCATTTGTTCGTCCAATCATTCGCATTTTGGTGTCATTTTTACCGTTTTGAATGCGGTTTGGCTTTTAAAGCTTTGTTTTGATTGATATAGACTCAGCTATAGTTAACGCTTCTAAGACTGTCCGTCCATCTATGAGCTTTGTTCGAAGAAAATATGTCCCACCATGCATGTGGCAGTCGTTTATAAACACGCTAATATCTATCATACTAGGTTTCATATAACTATGGCGTTTGATCATTTAGCTGAATTATTCGCTTCATATTTGTACAAATTGTCTGAGCCTTTTGACTCGCAAGCACTCGCTAGTTGCGAGTAGCGAGTGCTTGCGAGTGAGATGAAATGCGAGTACTCGCGAGTAGCGAGTCAGAACGAGTACTCGCTTTGACTCGCGCGTACTCGCGAGCACTCGCTACGCGCGAGTGGACGTACCCTTACTCGCGACAGGTACTGTATAGACACCCACATAGTGATCTTGAAGCATTCATGGCATTTTTAAATGAAACAATTGATAAAATTAATAAGGAAAAGAAATACTGCATTATAATGGGTGATTTCAATTTGAATCTCTTAAATATAGATTCACATCCAGGTGCTGATGAGTTTTTAAACACAATAGGATCTTACTTATTTAACTCTCATATCTTGAAGCCTACTAGAATAACTCATCACTCTGCTACTTAATTGATTATATATTCTTTAATTCAGTTTCTCATCATACTGTTAGTGGCAACATAGTTTATGACTTAACTGACCATCTTCCAAATTTTCTTATCATCAATAAATTTACAACCTTACCAAAAGGCTTTAAATTATTTAAAAGAGATTATTCCAATTTTAATGAACAATATTTTCTTCAAGATATGCAATCTACAAATTGGAACTTAGAATCATCCAATAATAATGTAAATGAAATCTTTGACACATTTAATTCTGAATTAATGAAAATAATTGATAAACATATTCCATTAAAACAGCTGAGTAGAAAGGATATTAAACACCGGTCTAAACCATGGATAACACATGGCATTAGATGTTCATTAAAAATCAAAAATAATTTGTACAAAAAATAATACATTAAATCTAGGTCAGTATACTATCATCAAAAATTTAAAGTATATCGAAATAAGTTAAATCGTCTGATTAAGATTAGTAAAACAGATTATCATAACAAATATTTCACTTCAAATAAGACAAACTTGAGAAATATATGGCGAGGAATCAGACAGATCATAAATCTTAAGCCAATGGGTGGTGGTGGCTTTCCTTCAAAGATATTTGAGGGCGAAGCTGCGTTAACTGATAGCAAATCTATAGCTAGTGCATTTAATAATGTTTTGGCTAACATAAGAAATGATTTAGCTGCAACCATACCTTCAGTAAAGATATTTCCAATGGATTTTATGCCACAAAAATTAATTTATCACATAGTTTATTCCTTTACCCAATCACTTCTCAGGAAATTGTGGACGAAATCAACAACTTAAATTCAACAAAGGCTACCGGACCATTCAGTGTACCAATAGATACTTTAAAATTAATGAAAGATATAATTTCAGAGCCTTTGGAGATATTATTTAATAATTCACTGTCAAATGGTATAGTCCCTGACAGTTTTAAAATTGCGAGGATAATTCCTATACATAAAAAGGGATCAACCATGAGTCTTAACAATTATCGTCCTATTTCTTTGCTCTCAGTATTTAATAAATTACTTGAAAAGGTAATGTTTAAAAGAATTACTAATTTTATCAATAAACACAATATACTGTATTGCATAGCAAGCAATTTGGATTTCGATCAAAACATTCTACCTTACATGCAATTTTATCAATTACAGATAGAATACAAAGGGCAGTTGGGGATGGTTACTACTCTTGTGGTATATTCCTAGACTTGTCCAAAGCTTTTGATACAGTCAATCACAACATCCTTCTACAGAAACTGGAATGTTATGGAATAAGAGGTATATCACATAATTGGTTTAAGTCTTACTTGGATAACAGAAAAAAAATTATTTCAGAAGGAAATCATTCATCTCAAGGTTCAGTTCTTGGACCTATTCTCTTTTTGCTATATATCAATGATA